GGCAGAGGTCATCCTCGAGGTGCCTTATGTGTGGGGTGCTGCAGGGTTCGGTCCTCTCGCCCCTTCTCTTCAACATTTATGTGAAGCTGCTGGGTGAGATCATCTGTGGTTTTGGGGTGCAGCTCCAGCAGTACGCTGCCGACACTCAGCTGTACATCTCCACCCCAGACCACCCCAATGATGCCCTTGAAGTGATGTCCCGGTGCCTGGAGGCCGTGCGGGTCTGGATGGGGAGAAACAGACTCCGACTCAACCCCTCCAAGACTGAGTGGCTGTGGCTTCCGGCATCCCGATATAGCCAGCTGGTGCCATCACTGGCTATTGGGGGTGAGTCATTGGCCCCCACGGAGAGGGCTCGCAACTTGGGTGTCCTCCTGGATGCATGGCTGTCTTTAGAAGAGCATATGACGGCTGTGGCCAGTGAGGCTTTTTATCAGGTTCGCCTGATCCACCAGTTGCGTCCCTTTCTGGATCGGGACTCCCTGCGCACGGTCATCATGCCCTCGTCACTTCCCGACTGGACTACTGCAATGCTCTCTACATGGGGCTCCCCTTGAAGAGCATCCAGAGGCTCCAGCTGGTCCAAAATGCAGCCGTGTGGGTGATTATGGGAGTGGCAGTAACTCCTCTCCTGTGCGAGTTGCATTGGCTCCCAGTGGTCTTCCGGGTGCGATTCAAGATGTTGATTAACATCTTTAAAGCATTCCATGGCTTAGGACCTGGATACTTACGGGACCACCTTCTGCTGCCGACAGCCTCCCACTGGCCAGTATGCTCCCACAGGGAGGGGCTCCTCGGGGTGCCGTCAGTCAGACAATGTCGACTGGCGACCCCCCCGGGGGAGAGCCTTCTCTGTGGGGGCTCCCGCCCTTTGGAACGAGCTGCCCTCGGAGGTACGGAGGATCCCGGACTTGCGTACCTTCCGCCGTGCCCTGAAGACTTTGTTATTCCAGCAAGCCGGGCTAGCCTAATTTTAACGGTTTTAAATTGGATTTTAATGGGATGTTTTATTTATTTATTTATTTATTTATTTATTTATTTATTTATTTATTTATTTATTTATTATTCGAATTTCTATACCGCCCTTCTCCTTTCGGACTCAGGGCAGTGAACAGCCAAAATAAAAACATTTATACATAAATACGATTAAAAATAGATTTAAAATAATTAAATTTGGCCCATAGTTTAAAATTTATCAATTTAAAATCCATATCAAAATTTAAAACCAACCATAAAATCATAAAATCAAGAGAGACCGGCTAACTGAAAGAGATGAGTTTTTAGGGCCCGGCAAAAGGTCCGGAGGTCGGAGATCACTCGTATCTCTGGGGGTAGATTGTTCCAAAGGGTTTTAATTATGGGCCAAAGTATTTAATCTGGTTTTAAATTGTTTTTAATTTTTATATTTATGTATTTGACCTTGGCTGTTCACCGCCCTGAGTCCTTCGGGAGAAGGGCGGTATACAAATATAATAAATAAATAAATAAATAAATAAATAAATAAATAAATAAATAAATAAATAAATATATTTTCAAGTTGTAAATTATTCAGACAAGGAATAAGGAAAGAGCTACTTATTTTTTGTAATTGTCTGTGGTGTGTCTCATATATAGAGGTGTGTGTGTTTCTCCCGTTATTTATATTTTCTGATTTATGTAACATAATTCCAGCCCATTGTAGCATGAGGAATATGCATAATATATATAATTTCCTATTTATTCTTTATTTTATAAAAAAAATGACTCTTCTCTTAAAATCCACTGTATGGTGACTTGCATACAAGCAACAAAATGCACAATCCAAATGCAAATTGTCATTGCGGCAATTAAGTACCGGTACCTACGTTGGATGTGTTCTATGGCAATCTCATTGTCCCTGCATAACCATTATTTCTGCCAAATTCTTGCTAAAGCTTTAGGAAGCATTTCCTAATTCAGGGAATGACATGTCTTTGATTTGTTGATATATTATTTTGCACATTTTTATATTGATGCAACTTTAATTCTATTAGTTTACTGGAGAATTGAGGAACCCCAAAACAAGCAACTTTGCTACGTACTATAAATTTGGTTGAAACATAGCTAATATGATTAGTGTCACCATAAAGAATGGTAATACACCTTATTTCATTACAATACACAGTTAATAACGTTATTTGCATCTCCAGCATATCTGTACATGATTGCTAGTAATAATCCTGTCACAATATGCAAGTGTCTCATTCCAATTGCAGCAATAAATTCAAAGATACATAGAACACATTTATTTCTGACTTCATAATGCTTGCTATTCATTAAATACTAAATGACTCATCCAGACATCTTAATACAGCATAAAGTGACTGAGAGAACTAATAATTTTTCTCGCTTTTTCAAACCACACAAGCATGTTACTGATTTATAATTAATGCAAATTAAAACTGTAAGCTATGTTTTTCACATTGGGAAAAGGCTTGCAATGTTTTATGACTACAACAACCTTGAATAGTTTAGACTCATTTGTTTTGCTTTAATATTTTTAAATACGTATTTCTAAGATGGTTTTCTAGGCTATGATAAATGTTAGCAACAGGACTTTTAAAAAGCTATGTTTTGCAGTGAACCTTCTTGAAGTAAAATGAATTTGCATCCCTAGATAATTATTCAAGTGGAGTTGATTGTTTAGATAAATTTAACTTACTGTAGGCCTTGAAAAGTGCCAGTGACTATAAAATATCATGCTTCCTTTGAACCAAAATATGTATAAATAAAAGGCTGATATACTAGCAATTGCAGACTAAACCTATTGTAGTGACATTTCTGTGATTTTACATTGTAATGACTGATTCAGATGTTGATTTGGGGTAACATTACAGCTTTTTAAAGATTTTTTTTTTTTTAGATTTCAGGTATTTAAGATGATCCTTTTTTCTAATAGTGAACAATTTATTAACATATAAAAATTGAAAAACACAACAAAACTGATTGCTTTCCCAATAAGGTTTTAATAATAAGTTACTTTGCATTGAATATTCAAGCAATCTGTACCTTTTAAAATTCAAAGTTACTTCTTTCATTGAAAAGCATAGCAGGCAAATTCAGTCACCTTCTAATGCAAAAACTACTTGATAAGGATTTTTTTCAGAGCAATTCCCTGATGCATCTAATGTGTCAAAAATAATTAGGTTTTGGCAGATTTACCACTGCAGCACAACCCTTTCCTTGGGTAGGGCCTGGATCATGTTAAGCCTTGTTTGTGTGTGACAGCATTATTATTCTTGTTAGCTACCCACTTCCCCCCATCGTTCTGTTGTGTTTGGAAATTTCCCACCTCAACTTGTGTTCCTCACCAGTGTTTTTCTTCATTTATTGACAGTTGGTAAAGATATTCATTAATTTAGAGTTAAAAACATGTATCATCATGTCTCACTGAACTGCTGGGCTGAAGTTGATTAATGGCAAAGACTGGCTGCAGGTTTTCCTCTTGAGAAGCAGCATGCTGGCCCTGCATATTAATGAGAGACTGTGACTTCTATTAACTAGATAAAAAAAACAGGTCTTCTCTTGCTTCAGGGTAAAGAGGATGTATTTTTTCATTATTATTATTTATATAATATTTTCATCAGGTGCTTGGTTTGAACCTTCCAAGCTTCTACCTACCTCACTCCTTCTCTAAAACAAACATGTGCATTTCAGCTAGAGGGGGTAAAAACTTGAGAATATGCACTGATTAATTTTCCATCATTATATTGTCACACTTCTAATTATCTAATTATCTAATATCTAATTATTTTAATACTGTTTTTTAAATTTTGTATGTTTTGTTTTTACTTAGGCTGTGCACCGCCCTGAGTCCTATTTGGAGAAGGGCGGTATAGAAATTTAAACAAACAAACAAACAAACTTGTCACGTTCAGCATAAAAAATAATTAGATAAAATTATGTGTAGGTGCATTCAAAAACACATAAGGTTGCATGTTTTAAAACCCTCATTGATATCTTGAAAATAACACTGTCAGACTGGTCACACTGATTCCCTTGACTCCATAGGTGTTAGGAAAAAAGGTATTTTTACTAGAGATGCTGAGTGCGGGGTGAGTGAGGCAAGCTCTGAAGAAAGCCATGTGAAAATCACATATTGAAAGCAATCCCCAATGTCCAAATTCCCCCCCCCCTCTGGGAGAATAGTCCAATCAGGTCCTGTTCTGATGCGCTGGGAACCTGGTGCCTCAGGTGCCACAGTAAATTCCTTTCACAGGGCTGATGTCGTTGAAGGCAGGAAGATATCTCAGTCTGGCAGCTCTGGTTCCTGTCAGTGTCCATACTCCCCAATTTCTCATAGCATTCCTTCACACTTCCAGTACTCTTCCCCTTCCAGATGCCCCCTCCCCACTGGTTTTGGCAGTTGTTAGAGAGCTTCAAACAAAATGAAGATGGCAGCTGACATTTTTGTATATTAAATTATTAGTCACTGTTTTGTTGGTATTCATTTAATCAGAAATCCTGTTTTTCTTTCATATTTTGAAGAACATTAAAAGAAGTCAAATGATTATGAGGAAGGTATGAATGGACTAGAGATGCTGTTGGTGTAGATTACATTTTCTGTACTCCACTATCCTTTTCACAGTTTCCTTTAATTATTTTGCTATTTATATTTATATCGACAATTACGAATTTTAATGGAATTCAGGTAGTTTAAGTAAAGCATCATATGATAAACAGTTCAAACAGAAGCATATTTAAACATTCAGATACAAAGCCAGAATCAGATGAAGAGCACAGGTCCAGGTAAATCTAATAAGAATTCTGACTGCTATCTTGAAATTCTATGAGTAGGCCAAGAATTTTATGAAGAAATTATATGGATGAATGGCTATGAGAAGGGAAGTTAGTTACAAATTCTTTAGTCTGAATCCTATTTTTTAATGTTTTGATTGTGATAGAAGAAAGACAAAATTGCTCATTGTCTACTGACAAATGTACTAAGTAAGTAAAATTCTGACATACTGTCTTCTCCTTAGACACTCAATCCATGTCAAAGAAGAGCCAGTGACTGCTGAGGATGAAGACTGTCCAATGTCTCTGGTGACAACAGCGAATCACAGTCCAGAATTGGAAGATGATAGAGAAATTGAAGAAGAGCCTTTATCTGAAGATCTGGAATGAACAGAGACTTGGAAAATCTCAAAATGAAGGGACATAACACTGACCTTCCGAACCACTCCATAACCATGAATATTTGACAGATTTTTACTGTGACTATTTATTAAGCATGGATAAAGGAGAAACACTCCTAAAGGAACTCATTAAGCCAGCCCTTTGGGAATCCAATTACAAGCAGATAAATAGCTTGTGGGTTTTTTTGGTTTTTTTCCCCCCTTTTTTAAAGATAAACTGATTTTCTTGAAAAACAAAACTGTTTATATATAACGGCTTGCCCATTTAAAAAATGTGGCTAACAAGGGTTCATGACATGACTGAATATGAGGATACATGTTCTATAGAAAGCAAATGGGCCTCATATACTGCCAAAAATAGTGTTAGTTTCATCAATGTGAAAATTCCAGCATACTGTAGTTGTAATAATGTTAGAAACAATTGCTGGTCAAGTTCAACTTGTTGCTATTGTTTTTAATTTGCACAGGAGTAGTATCAGAAATTAGTGTCACTGCTTGTATCTAGCTGAATTTTAAACCACAGAGTGTTAGTTTTTTTCATGTTGGTGCCACAAACTGTAAATGACATAAGTTAGTTCTAACAAACCACAGTAATTAGACTGTTGCGACCATCTAAAATCTAAGCTTCCAGTCTGTGCTGTTAGTGTTAAGATGTAAAGTGCAATCCTAAGCTAACATTGTCTGTGCAAGCACCATAGAAACATTTGCATATCTGCATATATCTTACAACTGTACTCTTTACCTCCTTGTGATAAAGCTTTGTCTACCTGCAAATACAGTCAAAGGCTACAGCTGCAAACCAAAGCCTACACTAACAATGGCCAATAGCTCAATGACAGAAGCAGCCACATGCTTTGGTCAGCCTTCTGTAACTTTAATTAGTACAAAGGAACTTTTCCATGAACTACTTGCTGTTTTCTGAAGACCTCTGGGATCTTTTCATTTAGCCCTAGACCAAGAAATAAATATGGGGGGAAAAGTCAATTTTGTCACACTGTAATCTTCTGAGGCCAAAAGTCAACCTCAATGCAATGAAGATTTGTTTTTATTTTAAAACAGAGGTGAGAATGAAGTTTGTGCAGAAGTTAACAATAGAAAGGAACAAACATGGATCACTGACCAAAATTATGTACTTGATGCAAATGCAGATTGTGTATTGTTATGTAAAATATGTTTTTTAATTATGTTCCCTCTCCATTTAGACTGGTTTCCCCCATCCCCACTCCCATTGCCTGTGATGAATACATGTTGTTCGAAGAAGTCTCGTATGGTCTTAAACTTCGTTGTGTGCTACTTTTTATAGTCTTAAGTTATAAATGACAAAAAAGTAGGAACCAAACATAAAAAAAGGTCTAGTAAAGCCAAAAATTAATTTCATATTGATTTAAAGTAATCTAGGTGAGTTTTTACAATGAAAGCAAAGATTATAGCAATTGTAGTCCATGGTATTTATTTTCAGTCAAACCAAAGTTACATAAAATTCTGCCTCTGTTAATACGGGATACTAACACTAACAATACACTCCCTTTGGAAGACTTGCACAGGCCAAATTGTTGGAATGCTGTTTTTCCTTCTCCTGTTTTTCTCCCCTTCCTCCTCCTCCTCTTCTCCTCCTCCTCTTCTATCCCTACCTTCCTACAACTCCAAACCCCAAATTACAATGGTACAATAATGGTGTATTTGACACTAGTATAGTCTAATGTTTGCTTATATCCTACAAACTTTACATGTTGCTTTTCATGTGCTGTGCCAAGTCTTGATAATACTCCCCCCCCCCCCACCAAAGGACCCCCAAAACCTGATTTTGGTTATTGCTTTACAAACCTTTTTTTTTTTCCACAGAAGGTGGCTGCTAGAGCTTAACATAAGTACCAGTTCCATGTGATGGGCCTGGGTCTTGCAAACTAAGCTCATTGTATTCTTTGCTGAAATCAGCATAGACTTAAAGAGAAACACAGTCATCTATCACGCCAAATAAAAGGACAAAATGGCTTTCGAAAGGGTTTTTCCCACTTACCCAAAAGACTTTTTGAAAGCTTCTACCTCTGCAAAAGAAAAAAAAACAAAAAGAAATTAGAACAATTATGGCAGATCGCATGAATTGTGAGATCATCACAGTAACTGCTATTTTTCATTACATTTGTCTTTGGGTCATGATAACAAAAGGTTTAAAGTAGTGACATCAAAAGAAAGCTTAACATGTGAAAGAGGGTTTTCCCCAAGTCATCTGGGATCCCTGATATGTGGATGACTGAAAGGAACTGATATTTCTTTCAATTGCATGTTCAAAGACTTTGATGGACTGGAAGTTACAGTGATAATTGGACCATCAGGAAGGTGGCCTAAGACTACAATGCTAAAGTATGCATACCTCAGTTACAAACCTTTTTGAAAGGAAGTCTCAGCCACAGAATGCATATACCTGTAGAGTTTTGCATGGGTTTTATATAAATACAGTTTAAAGGAAAAAATAGCTGCTTGCACATTATACCAGAAAAACCTCCAAAACTGCAATTGCTTTGAAAAATAGACTTTAGGTTTTTTGGAGTTTTCTGAGATGCTTGGTCTGTATTTTGATAATTGTGCATATTATGTAAAAATGTTGGTGGACCCATAAATGACCAGACTTTTTCTAAGAAAAATGTTGTTTTAATGCATTTCATGAATTTTTACTCTGATATCATTGCTTGCTAGTAATAGCAAACCTGCTTTTCTGCATCTGCTTTGCGTAGCTATTGTAAGGCTTTGAACTAATGTATGTATTTATTGCTTGAACTTCTGTGCATACCTTATAAAGCATAATGTCTGACAATTTAAATGGCTCATGTATTCTTGCTTCTAACATAAGCTGATAATGGGGACTATGATCTTTTGTATATAGCAGATTTTAATTGTAGCACAACATCTGTTTATGTATTGGTGGAATATACCTGTTTTATTTATCTTTTTTGAGGTAAACTAATTTTTGATACTTTTCATTACTGTGTACTGTGTTCATACCTAGAATTCTCTGACGTTAGAAGTCATGGTTGAGAATTGTAACAGCTGTTGTTCATTCTGTATTCAAGGCTCTCACTGCTGAATAAAATAAAGGACCAAATTTAGGATCTGAAAGAAAACTGTCTACCTCTAACACCAGGGAGTTATCAGACTTTATTTTACATAGTTTTAGTCTACAAAGACAAATTGCTTAAACCTAATGGATTTAAAGCTTATGTTCTATATGGTTCAATTCATGACACAGTTGTACTGTTTCAAAATCAATTAAAATGTCATTTGAATATTATAAGCATTAGATACTGCTAACTGGGTTTTCTTTTGATAGATATGAGAAAATGATGATCAGCATTCTGTGTTTACAGTTCTTTAATTTCAGAAAATGTGATTTGGGTTGTTGTTTTTTTGGTGGTGGTTTTGTTTTATTTTTTGTAATGAAAGAAAGTCTAGCCAGCTAGGAGTACAGCAAATGATCTTTATTTCTGAGGAAAAAAAGAGATGAAGGATTGGACTGTCCTGGTCCAAACAAATTTCAAGGTGTCATGGTTTGTTTCTCTCAGATTCCTCAAATTGGACATTCACTTTTGGATATCTCCTTCAGAATTTAGTTAATACATTCCAATACTGGGGTACATTTTTTAAAGAATAGTGTAATTACTGCTTATAAAGCACTTACAAACCCTTCCCTTGTTATTTCAAAAGTGCAAATCAGAATGAGTTTTGTCCATAAATCAGGCATATTTAACATGTAAATTTTACTATGGCATTAATGTATACAGTGTTTTCACTGCTTCTGGATGTAAAAACTGTAAATGAAGCCATTTCATTCATTTGCTTAAATTTCTGGTGTATAAATAAAAAGTCTTAATTCTTTTTGACCCATTTATAACCCACAAGGTTTTAATTCTTTTCTCAGAAGTCATGCTTCCACCCTACAAGCTCAGTTCCTGTATATTTATGTAGGAATTGTATAATGTTTGGCAGCGTGGTTATGATGAACTTTGGAGGTGCCCCAAGGGCTGTAAAAAGAATATTAAAGGACAGGTTGGCAGAACCTATCATCTGCTTTACTAAATACTACACACTCATTTATTTATGCTTATCTACCTATACTTATAATGAACACATGTTCTAGTCTAAATTATCTAACAACAAAAGAATAGAGTTGTGGATCAGGTCAAACGTTTATTTCAGAACATGGGAAACCATCAAATAGAAATAGGGACAATAGTATTAGGTGCTCTAAAACTTACATGTAGTTATTGTGATTAATTTGATAGTTTTATACTCCATGATTTGTCTAATCACTTTAATGTGCAAGTGAACTATGTCCTATCAAGTCCTGAAGAATCTCTCATTTGATTAATTGGCATTTAGTTCTATGTCTGGAAAGACACAGAAAAAAACTCACCCTATCCCCTTACTCCTCATCATGTGTATTTAGAGCAAGTACATCCTTATACATATTTTTCTTACCCTGTCTTGTAAACTCTTATCCATATTTTTTCTAAGCACCAACATATCTTTAATAAATAGTTAATTTAGCAGTCTCTCATTATGCTCTTGCTATCTTGTTAATTCTTCCTCCAATGCTGCATCTTCTTTCATGGTGCCAAAATCATACAAAACATAGTTGAGTATATTAAAGGCACTATGACACTGACAGGTTTATTAATTAATTTCTTGCTAAGTCCCAACATAAAATTCCCTTCTCAGCTGCTCTGTACCATGTAAAATAATAATAAAAAAAACTATTAATCACATGCAGTAGCCAGTCTAATATGAAGTGCTTTCTGTGCTATTAATCTGTTAGGGAAGGGATAACTACATCTTTTTAAGCTAAAAGTCAGTTTTGAGTCTACCCTGTTGCACAGTTCCAACTGTAAGAAAAGAACAGCAAAAGTATAAAACATAAAGAACAATATATAATCATTAACAGCACATAAAAATGTAGTTAGTCTGAATCTTGGGTCATTTGATCTATCCCTGAACCTATTCTTTTTCAGTAGGATGAGATTATAGGGTCCTCCTTTGGTGACCAGGAAGATAACTTCGTAGTTAGTTCAGCTACTATTCTTGGACAGTGAAAATGGAACTCAGGAATTGTATATAATGGATCTGCATTCCCAGGGAGAGACTATAGGACTTAAAGTTGGCTGTTTCGTGTAACCAAGTACCATATCTGTAGCCATCTTGTCTACAGTATCTCATAATGCTTGATGGCTCTTCCCAAGTTACTGCTCTATAAATATTTATTAGTGGGACCCCTATGGTTAGAGTTGCAGATGCAACCACCTCCTGACCACATGAATGATGATTCAGGAGAGAACTGTTTCTGCTAGCTGAGTACACAGAGTAATTCATTCTCATATTTTGATATGAGATTGTATAATTCATTTTTCCAGTTTCCTTGTTTTTAAGAGGGGATATTTTGAGATATTTTAAAGTATTTTCTTACAGTTCACATACATCTAGTCTGGACCCTCTTTGTTCCTAGTTAGAAGAACCTTGGCAGAAATAAAGAAGTTAAAGCTCATACGTTTGATGGAATTTGGAATTGACCTTGCCTAGTAACAAGGTACAATCTTAGTAACATCTTCATTTGATTGAAAAACACAGAGGAAGAAGGAAATTCCATAATTCTGGGACTTTGGTTGCTGGTGTCTATTGCAGTGCCAATCAATGATTGACCAAGTCATTTGTTAGATTTTGGTGATGGCTGGGAATTTAGAAACTAATATGAATTATACTGCAGGAATTGAAAGTCAATTCAATTTTCAAACACATAGTTAATCCATCCTGGCACTGGATACAGAACTCAATCTTGAGACAGGATACTTGATCACTTCAAGAATTCCCCAGGAATTTTATCTCCACTATGGACAAGATTTCCTGGGATTAAATGGGGTGATTTGTATCACCTGTATCTTTGACTTGTCTGCTTCTTTGTGTAGAGTTCTATCTTCACTATGGTTTTGGAACTGGAAAAAGTACTCCTCTATTCTATTATCTGATATCATAAACACATTGATTAGAGGAAGATCTCATTTTATAAGATCTTCTTATAAACATCTGGGTATCCAGATGTTGTGCCAATTGTTCCTGAGACAAGCATTGGTAATTGAGCTAATTAACTATAATGTTCAATTATCTCTGTCTGTATTGTACTGACATGAACAGTAAATATCTCAACCTGGTGTCAAAATGGTATCCTTATGTATATGACCTTTTTCTGAAGGCCCTTTAATCTGCTCCACCTTGATTGTTGACATAGACTTGGCATAATATTTCTTCCTTACTGGTAGGTATCACCTACTTATCTGATTGGATAGTTCATTTAGAGTTAAATATATTTCATAACCTTGGTTACTTTTTGGGCACTATCTGCTTGGGAGATCCACTGCAATACCCTGTCTTGGAAAAGGGCTCCTAAATTCAGAGACAATGGCAGATTGGCTGGAGTGAACCACCAATGCAATTGTTTAGAATTGGTGAAATATATGTCAATCTGGTCCTGGAGTGGCAGAAAGAACATTGGGTGCAATCTGGAGTGGAAATAGGATCGTGGTTCTGAGTCCACATTTAATGGCTATAATTTCACATTCTTGTTTGCATATTGAAGATCAGTAACTGGCAAAACTCAGTGTCCTGTGTATTAGAATGTAGATATTCCTTTTAGTATGTGGTATGCCACGAAGAGGGGGTTGAGGGGTTTTTACACAAATTTTTAGTCAAACTTTTAAGGGGGGGAGGGTCGGATTACAATTCAGGCTGTGGGTATGGGGGATAAT